GGGGGGGGGGGGGGGATTTTGTACCTTGTTTTTCCAATGAATAGATGTAGGCTTATTTCCTTGGATAGTTTGATAACTTGTACCGATTGCCAATAGTGATGTTCAAATTTGTATCGCTTCTTTTTTTTATTCTCCCTTCCAAAGCCATGGGGCAGGATACCCCTGTCTTAAGCATTTTGCAAGTCACATATGGACTAGAGGTCTTGGGTTTTTTATTAGTCTGCAAATTTGCGGGTATTAAAATCATTGTTGGCTATTGGTGTCTGATAAAGAGGCAGCGAGAGAATCCATGCGTTTGGGAGTGGAAATGCATGGATTGAGGAATTGGTACTAATGAAAATCAAGAAGTGAAAAGAACTATGGGATTTTATTTGTTCATTGTATGCAAAAAAATATAAAAATAAATAAATAAATAACTAAAATAAAAGAATAAAGAATTACATTTACGGACTTAGAAATGATGATCCAAGAAATAGGAACCAGAAAACAATCATGGACTGTCTCGAGATGGCTTGCAATCTATCACAGAAACCTTGAGCGCTTGCATTCAGCTGAAACACCTTGAGGAAATCTTTTAAAGTCGGTGCAGTAATTATAAATCATGTATTTGGACTGCACCCATCGCATTCTATTCCTAGTCTTGGCATCTAATACTTCATTCTGTTTTCCACCTTGCATGGAATTGGTAAACTTGGAGCCGCAAGATGATGACCCAGATGACACGACACATGCATTGACATTGATATTTCTATACGATGCAGTGAAAGGGGCCTTTGTCCAATCGGTTTTCACTAGTCCTCCTCTTGTTGCCCAATCGTCTGCATTCCATAGAGTTGAATAAACTCTCATGGGTTGGCTTTTTGGGTATGGAATGCCAATTGTTTCCCAATTTCGGAACACCCTTATGGGAATGTTATCTACCAAAAACCTGAAAAAGAACAAAGCTTCTGTTACGGAACGGGAAACCAAGTTTTATAGAACTTCACATTTAAGACTTGAACTAATACTTACTTGATGCTTTCAGGACTCCAGTCGATGGAGTATGTGTGAAACGTCTTTGTAGGATCAAACCAAAGGTGAAATTGCTGTTCCCTGTTTCCTTTTCCTTGTGTGTACACATTGGTGTGAAGTGTGTATGGATCTCCAGATGAATTGCCTAAGAATTCGAAGTCAATCTCATCGTGTCCTGGGCCTTGAGAAGACAACTGCATGAGAAAAGATTGAGTTAGATAGGTTTACTGGGGGAAATTAAATTCGAGTGCGAGTTCATGTTGAAACTTACATAAAAGGTGGTAACGGTGCCAGCAGAGTTTCCAGGCACCAACTTGATTTGCATGTCAAACCTTCCAAATAGGTACTCCTTCTTGGATTGAAAACCAGACCCTGAACCTTTGTCAAGCGAGAGGGTGAGGTGTCGGCCTCCATCGTATATATTGGCGCGTGGACCACCAAAAGTGATGTCGACCTCTTGGAGAAAGTTTCCAGCAGCTGCGGTCATTACTGAAGCCATGAATAATGAAAGTGCAAGCATTGTTGATGCTTTGTGAGACGAAAACATGCTTTGCTTTGGACAAAATTGAATGGAAACGAATTGTAGAGAGGTCTATGTAAACAGAGAGGAAGGGAAGATGGTGAATGGTGATGCTGGAATAGAAGTAGTGAAGCCCTTATATAAGAAAATTCAGCCATCGCTAATTCTACTATAAAAAAAGTGCCAGAGCCTTTTGAGCTGGCGAAATTTATTAGCCACAATGGAGTGGGATATGTTTATGATAGATAGATTTGAGAGTCACGGAAGGAGCAGTGGAAACCAGAAAAAGCACTTCTTTATTGCTGAGTTGTGAAACTTCCAAGCATTGCATGGTCTTGAAAGTTGAACTTGACGCTGAAATCATAAAGCGTCAATAATCCACTTGCATTCGTCAGAACGAAGGAAAAAACAAACGGTATAAAGAAATTTCTCCATGCGCGTGACAGAGAGGATTTGTCAACTGGATCTGTGTTAGCTGGCATCTGGCAAGCATTTATGCTTGGCATAAACAGGTAAACAAATGCACCAATACGCGTTTGAAGTTTAAATTTTTACAGCCCGCCTCTCTAATATCACCTTCCTAAGCTGCAGCCTGTGGTAATCCAGACGCTGGAATCTTTTCTTGCACAGCGACCATCAACCCGGTTTATATTTGGAAGGTGTGCCATCTTATGACAACTAAGACAACTAAGGAATGCTGGCTCTCGATGAAGTGGATTAATTAAATTCAATCAAACTATATTTGTTGGACAAATGCTCAATTGTTAATTTCGAAATATGCCAGTAAGGGCATTGGTTTGGTATTGGCTTTAGTAACTTCGGTGAATTATATTTAGTTATTATGACTTAAATTTATTTTTCTGTAAACTATATTATTTACAGTAGAGTGAGGAGTGTCTGGTGGCAACTGTGAGTTTAACTGCAAGTCTAATCCAAGGTGGTTGGTGCCAAATATCCTTGGTTAGTTGATCATATTAGGAGTTTGGAGATAGTAGATGTGGAAAAGTAACCAACCCTTGGCTACTTTTGAAAGACTTATTGACCTGACGAGTGGTCGAAACATTTGAGGTTGCATGATGGAAAGGAGCTCTGTTGCATGATAGAATGAGCGAGAGCCATGGTTACCTTGTCTCCAGGCTATGATGTGTCCTTGGGAATCTGAGGGAAGTCTTCCTTTTTGAGCGAATCGAGGTCGGACATGATTGACAAGAACCCATAAAACCTTTTCGAGAGTTACAGGAAAGTTTTGCCCACTCACTATCATAATTAAGTTGTTTCAACTTAATTGACTTATCTACTTTAACAGTTGGGTCCAAAAGACAAAAAAGGAAAAACACAATTCCATCAAGGATTTATTGTATTTTATTATGATTTAGTTTGTAAAATTGGATGATTGTGTCAATTAGTCAACCTAGATTGTAATCATCAAACTTTAAATTGTAACGTTATGCAATTTTTAATATTTGCTTTTTATGTATTTCATTTTGTTTCATCTATCTGTTTTTTTATTTAAAAATAAGCTGATTATTCAGAAACCTTTTATTCTATATTCAGTTTATAAATTACAATAAAATATTTCAAAATTAAAATAAGATAAGTAATGACAACAACAAATTTATATGCAGAAAGAACAAATAATTATATGAAACCAAATCCTGAGGAGGTAACAATAATATTGGAGACACAGGAGCAGCAGTTGGGTTTGGAGCTTGGTGTGCAACATCTGTCACAGGAACCTTGGGCGCTTGCATTCAGCTGGAATGCCTCGAGGAAATCTCTTGAGGTCAGTACAGTAATTGTAAATCATGAACTTGGACTGCACCCATCTCAATCTATTTCTACTCTTCGCATCTAGTTGGCCTCCATCACTTTGTGCTCCACCTTGCAAAGAATTCGAAAACTTGGAGCCACACGATGATGACCCAGCTGATGCAACACACCCGTTGGCATTAAAGTTTCTGTATGATGCTGTGAAAGGTGCTTGTGCCCAATCAGTTTTCACTGGCCCCCCTCTAGTTGCCCAATCGTCTGCGTTCCACAAGCTCGAATAAACTCTCATGGGTTGGCTCTTGGGATAAGAAACACCAATCTTTTCCCAGTTGTGAAACACCCTTATAGGAATGTTATCCACTAGAAACCTGTAAAGAGAGCGAAGTGTGGTTTAGTAATTTGGAGGAAGCTAAATTGTATATAGGGAAGATCGATGGGGAGACCCTCTTACTTGATGCTTTCTGGTGACCAATCGATAGAATAGGTGTGAAATCCTTTGGTGGGATCAAACCAAAGGTGAAATTGTTGTTCCCTGTTTCCTTTCCCCTGAGAATACACGTTGGTGTGAAGTGTGTATGGATCTCCCGACGTGTTGCCTAAGAATTCGAAGTCAATCTCATCGTGTGATCCTCCTTGCGAAGACAACTGCACGGTAACATATTGCAAGTTAATAGGAATCACGACTCTACACAATAGTATGATATTGTCCACTTTAAGCATAAGTTAACCTCATACAATGCAGGTGTATTTCTTACTTATAAATCCACGATCACGTTCTCTAAATTAGGAAGAAAGTGAAGATTGATTGGATTAGAGTTTGGTGTCGGAGCTTACATAAAAAGTGGTGACGGTGCCAGCAGAGTTTCCGGGAACGAGTTTCATTTGAACATCGAATCTTCCAAATAGAAACTCCTTCTTGGATTGGAATCCGGAGCCTGAATCTTTGTCGAGAGAGAGCGTGAGATGTCGGCCTCCATCTAGTATCTTGCCACGTGGACCACCCCAAGTGACGTCCACATCTTGGAGAAAGTTGCCGGCGGTGACGGCCATTACAGAAGCCATGGACACAGAGAGTAGAAGCATTATTGTCGAAGCTTTGTGAGGAGGAGACATTTTTTTGGTTGGAAATAGATGAAAATTGGCGTGTTGAAGTTGGGTTTTGAGAGGGGTTTATATAGAGAAGTGGTGAGAAAATGGGAAGAGATTTGAAAGCTGGGAATTGGGTAATTGTTTAAAGTCCTAGGTTGTGAAGTATGGGGGAGGTGGGAAATGGTGATGACTGCGGTGGAAGTGGATGATAGGGGCCCAAATCCTTGGAGGAAGCAACAGAGGAAGGCAGAAAAAGGAATATTTGCATAAAGGAGAAGCTGGATATACATGATAGCCAGTGCAGAGTGGGGGAAGGAAGGGAGAGATAGAGCAGCAACAGACAAGATCCGTCTAAGCTGGCACCCATTTTCTCACACGGGATGCCCGACCATATCTCAATGATTTTGCTTCCAAATCATCAAAGTCTTCTTGACGATGACGTTGATTGAGGAGGTTAGAAGTTTTAAAGGTTACAGGAGTAGAGGAAACCTGAGAAGGCACTTCTTTTTTTAATCTCTATTGTGAAGCTTCCTAGTATTGCATGCTTTTCATATACATTATATAATGAGATGGCTTCTCAACCAGATTGGTTTTAGCTGGCATCGAGGGAGCATTTCTATGGCATAACATTATTAGGTGATTTTAAGCATATGGGTTCATATTCATTTATTTCATTTATTTTAAGCTTGAAGCGGACTCAAAAGATCAATCGGATTTGAGTTTTGACTCTCATTCAAGATTATTGAGGGTGTGTTCTACCTTGGCTAATTTAGGGAATGATGATGAGTTTATGAGTGAGGAAGTACTATCTCCACTGGGTAGAGACTTTTTTGGAGAAGCTCAAAACAAAATTACGAGCTTATACTTAAAGTGGACAGTATCATATTATTGGGGAGATCCGTGATTTCTAACAATGACATGACAGCCCCCTCCTTGTAGCTCAATCTCCATTGTTCCTTCGCCTCCTCAGCGATCCACCGAGAAGGCCTTCTCGACTCTGGTAAAACACAACCCTACCTATTAGACACAAATCTAACAACCCCTCCACTCTAACAGTGTGTAATGACCTGAATACACCGCTAGCCGGTATTGTCCTCTTTGGACTTTTTCTTTCGGGCTTCCCCTCAAGGCTTTAAAAGTGGAAGGTTTCCCCACCCTTCTAAATGGAGGTTTGTTTTCCTCCCCAACCAATGTGGGACATGACACAGTACCTTCCGAAATGGGGATGCTGGAATCTTTCCAAGCAAAGCGACCATGGTGCTAGTTTTATAGTTGGAAGGTGTAGCATTCATCGACAACTAGGGAATGCGGGTGGGTTGATTGATACTTAAATCCAAATTACTCTATTATTGTCAATTCCCTTACAAGCCTGTTGAATGTCAAAAGATAATTCCATATTATTTTATTTTTTAAGAATTCCATGTGCTTTTAAGGTTTGCTTTATATCTATTTCATTCATATATTTCAATTTCTTAAACACCAGTTGCTTTTTACCAACAAACCTTTTATTCTCGTACAACTTCCAAACTTAGAACAGAAGTAATTATTTATAATGATAATTGACGGTTACAAATTTATATCCAAAAAAGAATAGAAAAGAATGTAGGAACAAACAAATCAAAACATTGATGATGGAGAAATAACAAATCATAGAAACCTTGAGCGCCTGCATTCAGCTGGGATGCCTTGAGGAAATCTTTTACGGTCGGTGCAGTAATTATAAATCATGAACTTGGATTGCACCCATCGCATTCTATTCCTGCTCTTCGCGTCTAATCCTTGATCGCCTTTTGGTCCCCCTTGCAGAGTATTCGCGAACGTGGAGCTACAAGACGTCCACCCTGTCCAAGCAACGCACCCATTGGCGTTGAGGTTTCTATAAGAAGCTGTGAAGGGGGCCTTTGTCCAATCCGTCTTCACCAGCCCCCCTCTTGTCGCCCAATCATCCGCGTTCCACAGACTCGAATAAACTCTCATAGCTTGGCTCTTTGGGTACGACACGCCAATCTCTTCCCAGTTGTGGAACACCCTTATGGGAATGTTATCCACTAGAAACCTGAAGAACCAAAAGGTCACACAAATTCCATTTTAATTTGGAGGAAATTACATTATTACAGATAGGGGTCCCTCTTACTTGATACTTTTGGGAGACCAGTCGATGGAGTAGGTGTGGAAGCCCTTTGTGGGATCAAACCAGAGGTGAAATTGTTGCTCTCTGTTTCCCTTCCCTTGCGAATACACATTGGTGTGAAGCGTGTAAGGCTCTCCAGATGAATTGCCTAGGAATTCGAAGTCAATTTCATCGTGGGTTGCTCCTTCAGATGACAACTACATAACACCAAACTCCAAGTTAGTTAGAACAAGTTAATCAATATTTTGATAAAAGGGTGTGTTTTTTTTAGAGCTTACGTAGAAGGTAGTGACAGTGCCAGCAGAGTTTCCAGGGACGAGCTTCATTTGTACATCGAACCTTCCAAATAGGTACTCTTTCTTGGATTGGAAACCAGAGCCTGAATCCTTGTCGAGAGAGAGAGTGAGGTGTCGGCCTCCATCTAGCATCTGGGCGCGCGGGCCGCCCCATGTAATGTCGACATCTTGGAGAAAGTTGCCGGCGGTGGCAGCCGCCATAGAAGCCATGAACACAAAGAGTGGAAGTAGGCGCATTGTTGTCGAATCAACCCTGTTTTTGCTTCGGATTTGGAGTTGAAGGAGAGGGGTGTTGAAGATGGGATAGGAGAAGGGTTTATATAGCGAATAGGGGTAAGATTGAGTGAGTGAGTGTGTATGAGAAATGCCAGAGATTTCAAAGCTGGCAAATCTTGGAACCATGGTGGAGCTGGAAAGGGGCCCATATTTGTTAGGAAGGAGCAGAGGAAGCCATGAAAAAGAAACATGATTGGAGAGAGAAAGGAGCAACGGACAAGATCCGCAGAATTATGTGTACGTGAAAAAGAGTGTGTTTTTAAGGAATATTTTATAAAAGACGTAATATTGAAACACAGCTGTGAAGTCAGGGGAAGATATGGGATAAGGATGGGAGTGGGTTATGCGAGTCACGAGGAGTTGGGAATACGCGTTGTGGTGGCTGGCTTCCTGCTGTCAAACCATATGCTCTGTTAGGCCATTGCTTAATGGGCTCCTCCATATGACCCGAACACTGAGAGATCCAAAACAATCTTGATTTGGGCTTTAATAATGACTAGTTCAGGCTCAAATCCACATCTGAAGCCCACCAAGAAATTTTATATCCAGATTGAGATTTTATATCACAGGGAAGATGAATTGACATGAGAACGCATTCCACCCCTGCAGCTTCTCTGCCCGGTTGCTTATGTTCTCGTTCGATTCCATTTCACCAAACTCGTCTCTCAAGAAAACATACATCTTTTTCTACCATTTCCCTAATCAGAAACTGTTCTCAGTCCAATGATTTGTGTGTCTCTCTTACACCAACTCCAGCAACGGGTTGCACCAAAAACCACAACCCCAATAACTCCGAGCCCGACCCGAGTCGAAACCAGAGGCTTTTTCAGCAGTTCTACTTGTCTATCATCTCTATAAAACCCGCTGAGAAAAACCCATCAGCAAGTAATCAGAAAGAAGATCTGGGTCAAGAGGATCGGAATAGGAGCGTCAAGAAAGGCAAGGGATTTTTGACAAACATGTGGTGGGCGAATCTGAAATCAGCAATAGGGCAGAGATTAAACGTAGAAGGTATAGTTTGTTCTGCATCTGTCATTACTAAGGACCGGCATTTGGCGCTCCCACATGTGGTTGTGCCTGATGTGAGGTACATTGATTGGGGTGAACTGCAGAGGAGGGGGTTCAAGGGCGTTATATTTGACAAGGACAATACAATTACCGCTCCTTACTGTTTGACGATTTGGGCACCTCTCAAATCCTCACTTGAACAGTGTAAATCCGTCTTTGGCCACAATGTAGCTGTGTTCAGCAACTCTGCTGGTAATATAGGTTTAATTCATTAGCAATTTGCTTACTTTAATTGCATCAATATAAACATTTACCTTCATTTTATCTGACGCTTTAGGGCTTTATGAGTATGATCATGACGGTTCGAAAGCTAAAGCGCTCGAGAGGTCGATCGGAATAAAAGTTATAAGGCATAGTGAGTGAAATTTCCATCCTTCATGACGAAATTTATAGGTGTTGCTGAAGACTAAGATCTTCGTTATAGCATATTAGTGGGTGAACGTTATATTGAAAAACCACCCCTTTTTAGTGTATAAAAGTAGAGAATTTGGACTTTGAGGATTTGTCATCTCATTTCATTTTATGGATGTCATATCGTATCAGAGATCATTTGGTTTCAGCTTCATGAACTAATGCTAGGGTCAATGCAACAGTGGATCCCACAGTATATATATATAGGCTATTTTGTTGCTTTTAATTTAATGCGTTTGGAAGGTCTTCTTTTTCCTTTCTGCATAGCACATGAAGGATTACTATGTATTTTAACGTAGGGGTGAAGAAGCCTGCTGGCACAGCTGAAGAAATCGAGAAACACGTTGGTTTTGCTTCTTCACAACTTATTATGGTAAGAATCAGGTGAACTGCTTGATTACTTTAGTGTTTTGGGTTATTTATGATTTAAAATGTAAATCCATATTTTCTCAGGTGGGTGATCGACCATTCACAGATGTGGTTTTCGGGAATCGCAACGGTTTTCTAACTATTTTAACTGAACCCTTGAGACTTTCTGGGGAGACATTTGTTGTTAGGCAGGTTGGTTTTCCTTCTCTATCTTATATTTCAGTGTATGTAGGCAATTAATGGATTGCATTGGCTGGAAATCATACGAGGGAAAAAGTAGAAGCAAACACTATTAATTTCTTTTAAGTTTCTTCATAAGCCATGGTTGGACTGTAATAGGGGGGGGGGGGGGGGGGGGGG